CAAAACCATTACATGGCATCAGAGGATCAATCTTGCCCACCAAACAAAAGACAGAAAAGGCATTCAATGTACCCAGTGGATAATTCCAAATATACTCTCTTACCTGATGCCAGGTCATGTGGGTCCTGCCTACCTTTCTTTGAATTCACCGCAGATTTCCCTGTAAGAATGCCTGCCAAAGTCCCAAGGTTGGAACAACCAGAGCGAGAACGAAGGCTGCAGAGAAAAGCAACCCTTAGCTTCACCACTCGCTCTTGTTCTCCTGTTGCAACTTTTTCCACGTCCCGGGCAAAGACAGAGCTTCACCAGGTAGCACCACCAGCTCCACAGAGTTGAAGCGATCCCCGCAAGGAGCTCCCCTGCATCCCTTCTCAGTCACCCCCGGAGACAAGCAGGAGAAACGGCATCAGTCCCTTGGAAGGGACCAGGCAGGCGAGAACAACGGCAAGTCTTGCCGCTCACAAAAAGGAGGAAATGATGAAGGAGGCAGTGAGTGGGATGCAGCAGAAAAAGGACAGCAGCAGCGGAAGGGACACTTCCCCGCTCTTGCCTAGCTCCAAGTCATCTTCGCCCTGTTGTCATAGCACTTTACAACGAACGCTACCGCGCAAGTCCGAGGCTGGGCCGCGATGCCTTCTGGGGCTTGTAGTCCCGAGGGACAGAGGAGTTTGGAAGGCACAGTTTTTCTGAGTGGACCGTGGTAGGAAACAGATTCCTACTGGGCAGGGCTAAAATGAACGCTGCCCGGTCCCCGTTAGCAAAGACAAAAATTAATACAATTCCCTTTTCTGACCTTAGGGAACCAGTCTCTGAGGAACACCAGCCATCCTCCTCCCGCTCAGGCCGCTGCAGGCCACGCCCTCCCGCGCAACCCCCGCCTCCGCCCCTGGGTGTTCGTGGGAGGGGGCTTTCCGAGGGGGCGGGACTCACTCAGAGCGGGCGGGGCGTCCGCGTTGGTAGTGTGTTTGCGACTCCGAGGCCTACAGCCCTGGGGAACTGCATTTCTGTTTAGGGCCAGGAGGCGCCGAGGCACAGGCTATGGACCCTGCTGGTCTGAGAAGGTTGGGCGCGGTGGGAGCGCCAGCGTGTGCGCCCTGGTGGCAGGGGTGGCGCTGGTCCATACTAATTCACGTAGAAGAAGATGATGGAGAGGAAGACCAAGATCACAGAGATGGTGGGTGTCTTGCCAATGGATTTCAGCCCCTGGCAAGTTTACTGCGAATTCAGTGTGACCAAAGAAATGACAGTAGCTCAATCTTGGGGTAAAAGGGTTATACCCAACTTTATTTCCACAGTGACAGGTTAATCACTAAAATCCCGTTCACTCAGAGTGAGTCTGCACGCAGCAAGACGGTCTCTGCCTCTGGACCCCTCTGTCCACACAGCTGTCGTCCTCTGGGCCTCTGTCCTTGGCACTGCCACCACTCCAGCCTCTCTCTGCTCTCCTGCAGCCTTGCAGCTGTGCCACCGTGTCACCCAGAGCACTGGGCGGGGCTCTTTATATACAGTCAATAGCAATGCATTACCCACACATGTGTAGTGAGGTAGCCAGCCAGGGCCAGGTGAGAGTCCTGACCATAGGAACCTTCATTTTATCCACAGTGGGGCATTTGAACAGTTTGCCAGCATTCATTTTTTCCTAGTAGAACCAGTGCTGCTATGAAATCACTTGCACATGTCTTCTGACCACATGTGCTAAATATTCTCTTTACTATATACCTTGGAGTAGATTACCAAGTAGTATATAACATATGCAAATGTTCAACTTTACAGATGAACATAATAATGCCAATATTTAAAACTTTTTTTTAATCTTTGCTTTCAAAGTCACTCACTGTAGCTCTAATACCCTGTCAGAAAACGTTGAAACTTCTCGCTTTTTTCACTGGATTTTAGCTTAGGATTTAAATTCCCATCTTAACCAATTGTTTCCACTAGAATATGTAATTATCTTTTAAATTTCTTAAAGATAAAATAGAATTTCATGAAAATCGTTGAGACCATTAATTTTTCATGTTTTGATATTATGAAATGGTTAACATTGGTTATAAAAAATAAACAAGGAAATTATTTGGATTGCCAACTATGGTAATATACTATCCCACCACTAAAATTCAAATCATCAAAATGTTTGACTTGAAAAAAATGTTCACAATATATGGAGAAAAAGTCTAAAAAAAGTATACCATTTCATATGTTCCCCCACCACTGTACATCACTCTTTTATTGAATATCTTTTCCTGTAGAACACTTTTGGACATTTAGGTGACAAGTCTCTCAGACATATGCTAGAAAGCCTGAGAGGGACAGGACTGGGTCACAAATTCAAATTTCCACCAATGTCCTTCATGCCTTTCTCACCAATGGCTAAGCCGAAACTGTACCTCACATCTCACGTCTCAACTACTCAGGGTAGATCAGTCCTTTATTACCTACAGAATGAAATTTGATGGAATCCATAACAACCAGTCAATTGGTAAGGGGAAGCCTAAGCAAGGATGACAGTGACAGTTCCTCACTTCTTAGTAGACAAATACAATTACAGGATGTAGGGCAGTGGTCGCATGGAGCTGTCTATCAACTAGGGTCAGAGGCCACCTCCTGACTCACAAGGCATCTCCAGGCCTCTAGGAATCCAAGCTCCCTGCACAACACATCATGTCAAACACCCACTTCTTTGCATCCAAAAGTGATATGCCACCAATAATACAAAAATGTAATGATTGCACCACGTGGCCATAATAGGTATAATCATTGAATATTAAAATGTTCTTACAACAAATATGAGACACTATGTTAATAATGCCTTAGTCTGCATATCTTTGATTAGTAGTGAGACTGCATATTTTTCAATGTTAGTTTACCAACAATCTTAAGATTAGAGAAAGGAAAGTGTGCTAGCGAGTAAAGTCCTCTGGCTCCCCAGGAGCTGCAGGGGGCACCACTGCTCAGGGTTGACTCCTTAGCTTTATAGACCCAAAGCCCAACACTTCCTTGAAGTCTAATGATAACTGTCACTCCGTAACAAACCACCCCAAACATACTAGCATGTAATAATGAGCAACTTATTATCTCTCTCACTTTCTGTGTGTCATAAATTCCTGAAGGGCTTGGTTTAGCAGTTCTGACTTGAGCTCTCTCATGAGGTGTCAGACTGGAGCTGACAAGGGTGGGAGGTGGTTAGTTAGCTGGAGGTTGGCTTGACATCTATTTAGTCTCAGGCCTCTTCACATGATCTCCCATCTTGGGTTAGCTAAGGCCATCTCAGAGCTGGTGGCATCATGGCTCCTGAATAATTTATACTGCACTAAAGGCTTCAAGAGGAAATATTTCAAGCAAACCAGGTGGTTCATATAGGTGGCAACTATATGAATTTATCCAACCTCACATGAGAAATTACACACCATCACACTGCTTTCTACTAGTTATAAGCAAGTCACCTCAAGTTTGGCCCAGATGCAAGGCATGGGGCATAGACCCCAACTCTCCATGGGGAGGAGAATCAACACCACATTCTAGAGAAAGAAGTTGGATGGCAGATACCCTTGCAGCCATCTTAAAAAAAACAATAACATTGTCATTGTATTTTTATAATAATAACTTTAGTCACAAGAGACTGATTTATAAATCACAATGTCAATTTATAATAGGAGAAACACTTTTCCAAGGACTCTGATACCTAGCTTTAACCAAAACTTTCTTCTGCTCATTAACAGGATCTACTATAAAATGGCCATCAGAATGTTGCCAGGTGAGAATGGAATCAGAACATCTTTTCAGATGGAGCCGATTTTGGTCAGTTCCACCCATTTTTGTCCAAATAGTGAACATTTCTATTACAGAGCTTGGGTCACTACTGAAAAATGATAGACAAACACTGATTAATTTTCCTTAGTTTTCCTTTTCTAGATTTTGTAGACCAACTTCCCCTGTAACATAGATTTTCTTTGCTTCTAAATCACATTTTACAGAGACTATATGCTGCTTCTTGGCTAGATTTGGATGTCCTATAAGGTATTTTATAGGCCATTTATAGGTCCAGGTAACTTCCATAAATGGCTGAGTCATCCATTCATGCAACAATTTTTATTAGCTTCATTCTTAGAGGAATAGGTCATTTCCGAACTATACTACATGTCAGTATAATTTTGTGTCTGTGTATCACCTCTTTGTTTTCTTGAATAAATTTGAAAGGGCTCCTCATACATGTAAGGTATTAACCAGTTGAATATTTGTGACAAGTATTTCTCTTATGCTGTTGTTTTTACATCCTCTGTACTGTCCTTCCTTTCAAAGGTAAAACAATTATGTATCAGATATGGTTTCAAAATACAACCTAGTTAAGCACCTGAGACTTTTGCATCCTGGCTTCACGACTTACCACTTATGTATACTTGAACATACCATTTAACTCTCTGGACCTCCTTTTTATCTATAAAATAAGGGTAAAACTTAAGAGTAGTAACAACACTTGTTTTTAGATTAAATGAACTCTCGTTAAGTGCTTAGACAATGACGGCTCATAAAAAGCTCTCAGTATATATTAGCTTTTTTTTCTCATTTCCAGCACCCAAAATATGTCTAAATAAAGCACCCATCAACTGTCTTAACCATGCTTCGCATGCTCTGGAAAACGGGGAGTGTCTATGGAGTCTTGCTTTCTTGCAAACTGAATGAATCCAGTACATGTAACGAGCAGCTCTCGTGTGCCTGGCCACTGGGCAAGACAGTGATGACCTGCACAGGTTCGTGGCCTCCAGGGGTGGAGGCCGCAAGGGCGGGCGGCCCTGGCTCGTAGAGGGGCCCCAGGCTCCCACCGCGCATCCTCAGCCCCCGGCCGCCGCCAGGGGGCGCGCTCCGACCTCCGGCACCCGGCGGTCTGGCGGCGAGGGCCCGGGTGCTCCCAGCTCGGCCTTGGGGCCGCGTCGCGGGAAGGCGGCCCAGCCGGTCTGTGGGGAGGCGGGGGACAAGCGGCCTTGGCGGGGACACCGGCCCCTGCCCGGGCGGCCGCGGGGCGAAAGCGGGAGGGGGCGCTGCGGGCCGAGCGGGCGCGGCGCGGAGGAAGGGCCGTCTTGCCGCCGCCTCGGCTGCGCCAGGGGCCGCAATGTCGTCCCGGCCGCGGCGCGACGACGCGGGGGCCGCGGGCGCACGGCGGCAGCGGGAGCCGCCGGAGCAGGAGCTGCAGCGGCGCCGGGAGCAGAAGCGGCGGCGGCACGACGCGCAGCAGCTGCAGCAGCTCCAGCACCTGGAGTCCTTGTGAGTCCCCGCCCGCCCTGCGGCCTTCCGCCGGGAACGGGCGTCTCCCGGGCGCCGTGGGGGCGCGCCAGGCCGGGCCCTCGGAAACCCGCGAGTGGGCAGGCGGGCCGGCCGTCCGCGGAGCGGCGCAGACACTGGGCTCCCGGCGCCCCTCGGGGGAGAAGGAAGGTCCGTTGCCCGGGCATCCGGGCGCGGCCTCGCGGCGGGAAGAGCAGACCCCGCCCCCGTCGCTCAGGCCCGCAGCGAGGCGCGCGCGGCCTGAACGCGGAGGCGGCGGGGGTCTCCCTGACCCCGCGGCGTGCGTGCCCGGCTTGGGCGCCGGGGGTCGGGCGCTCGGACCGGATCCGGGGACTGGATCCGTGAGGCGGGGCCTGAGCGCTCTGCCCGCCGTCCTTTCGGGTTTTTCAGTTCCAAGGACCCACTAGAAGCTGGGTAACCTCCCCATTCCCTTCCTCCCCCGCTGTTACGGGCAGAGGAAAAACCCAGCCCTGTAACGGTTGCGTGGTGAGCAGGGGAGAACCAGAGAATGATGGCGTGAGGGGATGGATGGTCGGGTGGGAGCCACACGGAGGCCAGTATCGCTCAACAAGAGGAGTTAGGGCGAGAGTCTTTCACTCTTGCTGGTCAGCATTGCCTGACCCAGAGGCACTGCTGCCCCAGCCCCAGGGGTTCAAGAAGAGTCCCGATAACCACTGAGAGAAGGGCAGGTTGCAAGGGAGGTTTAAACATCAGGTGGGAGTTTGGAATAATGAACTTTCAGTTCTTTTCTGTGATTCTGTCATTCTGTAATTAGCTTTAGAAAACAAACTTAGGTTTGGTATTCACTGAGTTATTCCATAAAAAATGCGTTTCTGTTTCAGGCACCACTTATTACTATGCCAAGATGATCATGTAAGGAAAGGTCTCAAGATGTTAAAATCCTTAATAATTAATCTTATGGAAGCTTTGACAAAAAAAATACATTGCTTTATTGGAGTCTGGCCTGCTCATTTTAGTGTGGTTCTCAAGCTAAACTTCATCCCAGTAGGCAGTGGTTTTAGGATACAGGCCCTGCCTTGCTGACATTCACGATCCTGTTCCCTGTAGCCCTCTCCATCTCCTATTGTCCCTAGGATTAGTTCAGGCAGGGCTCAGCCCAGCTCGGCCCTCAGTATCTTAAACTCTCGGATACCAGATGATGGTTAATACTCTGTATTTATTTTGTAGCTCATAGTGCACTCAACAGACATCAGAGATTATTATAACCTTTTGCAGATGAGGAAATCCAGGTTCAGCAGTTAAGTAACCTGATCGAGGATACATCTGTCTGTAACCTAGCAAAACTAAGGAAGTACCCAGGTATCAGATTTCCAGACTCTGATTTTTCCATTTAAGAGATTTAAAACTTTCCCAGCTGCTGACATATGTGGTTTTGCTAGTTCAGATGCTTGTTTGCTTTTAAACGAAAATGTTTATTTCCAAAGTAAGACTTTAATGTAGTTTAAACATTAGTTTAAAGTACTCTCAGCTTTTAAATCTTTGGAATAAAATTTAAAGAACTAATAAAAAATAAAATTAAAAGACTAATTTCAAAAAATAGTGTTTCCCATCCCCACTTTTCAGTCACCCCACATACTTCCTGCAACACTCCCTCCAACTGAGGCTTCAATTGAAGAAACTTAGTTTTTTCTTAAGAGATTTAACTACTTATTTCTAAATTATATTTTTACACTGCTCTTTTTGAACAGTCGATATTACCTATCAACCTGCTTCATAGATGAGGGGTTAGTTCTTTCCCTGCGCTTCATATCTTCATCCTTCCAGTATAGCTCCATTATAATTTTGTTAAATATAGTTAGTATTAAGATTATAACTATGCAGTATTGTTCACTTTTAATCCAAACGGTGTTCTATGATTTCTTTTGCTTTCTAGTACAACTGTTGTTTTTTAGGTAGTTAATAAGATCCTCCATGTTTTCATTCGCTTTATTTCCTATCACCCACTGCTAATTTTATTCCAAAGGTTTAAAAACTTTTCCCATATGTTTCTACATACCTGATTAGGTTTTTTTGTTTTGTTTTGTTACCTACAGTCTTCCTTCTGTTCTCCACCAGTACACCCTACTAACTTTCTAGACTGGTGTACAGCAATTGTCATGGGACTTCATCACTCTCCTGTATTGGATCCATTCCTGGATCTTCTGTCTTTACTTTATTTTGCTGAAGCACATTATGTAACTTCCTATAAAAAGTGCATTAGGGGTAAATTTGTTGAGTTCTTACATGTATGAAAATGTCTTTATTCTACCCTCAAACATGATTGATGGGTAGTTTTGCCAGGTATAGAATTCTAGGTTAGAAATCATTTTCACTCAATTTCAAAGGTGAGACACCATAATTTTCTAGCTCCCAATGTTGCTAAGAAATCTGATGCTGCTGTGATTCCCTTTCCTTTAGAAGTTATTTGTTCTACTTCACCCCACCTTTGGAAATGTTAAAGAATTCTTGGTCCCAAGTATTTTGCAGATTCATGGTTATCTGAACTTTTTCTCACTGGATTTTTAAAATTTTTTATTTGCGTAACACTTCATGGATATTTAATATTCATATATGATTTATATTTTAATTTCTTTTCCACCATTTTGTTTTCTCTTTCTCTTAGAATTCTATTGATCCTCTATCTTTTCTCTCCATTTTCTTTTTGTCTTTTCATTCTAACCTTCTGTAAGACTTATCTTCCAACCATTCTGTTTTACATTTTTTAAGATTCAATTATTATATCTTTAACTTTAAAGAGCTTTTTCTTGTTCTGAGAATTCTTTTCATAGCATCCTATTATTTCATCAATAACATCTCTCATCTTGGAGGATACTCATGAGTTTTTCTTTGTTTTCTTCTCCTTCCACTGCCTGTTTCTTCTTTTCCTTTTCTTTTGATTTCTTTCACTTAGAGGTTTTGTCCTAATGTGTAGAGATATTGGATCTCCCTCATTGAGACTGAAGCATTACAAAGCTATTTTGGAGGGGGCTGTTGAGAAAGAGAGGATGATGCAAAGGTATTGCTTTGTTGACTAGTAAGTTTCACTGTAGGGATACCAGACTGTGGTCATCTGTGGGAAGCTCCCACATATTAGGAGGTGGAGGTTTTTGTCTGGGGCCTGTTCAGTTTCCAAAGAAGAAACTTCCATTCTCAGGTCTGGGTGCTGGAAATAAGCTTTGCTACCAGGGTTCTGGATTAAGATGGAGACGTTGGAGATCTAGAGTTCAGACTGACACTTAACAACTATTTCCAGCCAGCACTCACCCTGATCCCTATCCTGTACAAATATTCCTATGCATGTGGGGCCTTTCCAAGAAAGTTTCACAGGGCACTAAACCTGCAGTCTCCTTCAAGCATGAGGACAGAGTCTCCTGGCTGTGAGGAAGGAGAAAATTGGTGGTTTCAGCCACTCAGTTTTCATACTCCCAACTCCAGTCTTCCAAAGGGGGTAACTTCGTCTACCTAAAGAAGTCAGTTACTTTCTTCCACTTCCCATTGTCTTCCCAGCCTTGTCTTGAATTGTTCTCTGGTAGTATCTCTTCACAGAATTTCTTTGTGACTTCTTACCTTTTCTCTTTCTTTTCTGTCATTTTAAGAAAAGCTTAGAAAGGAAGGCAAAAAAATAAGTTGGTCAACCTGCCTTGTTAAAGGGAAAGTCCCATTGGGGTTTTTTACAAATTGAATTCAAGTTCGTTTACCCACAGGTGTGCCTTAAGTGCCCTCACACTCCTCTGACCTTTTGCTTACACTTGACCTTAAATTTTCTTACCCTTTGACCATACCTGCCAGGCCCCTGAAGGCATCTGAGTCTTGCATCTGTGCGCCAACCCCTGCTGTGGGTCTCTCACTGAAGTGTGCCTTGACCACTAGTCGTAACAGAATGGAGATTATGTATATATGTGGCAGTTTCTTCTCTGTCTTCCAGCCCCATAAGAGCCACTGCAGGAATAGTTGGAACGGAGTATGCTTACATGAAGGACTTTTCCAAAAGAAATCCTACCCAGCATTCAAAAATATTAATAGTACTTTTAAGTACTGGGTAAAATAAAAAATTTTTAAGTACTGGGTAAAATAAAAATTTCTTGCCCCATACCCACTTGGGAAGACAGTGTTTTTCCTCTCTTATATAATTTAGTCTTCATACTGCTCAGAACAGTTTATTACAATCTGAATGATACAATAGCAAGGCTCACAGGTGGTACAAAGTAAGGGACCTCTTTTTTTTTTAATTGTAAGGACTAACTACAAAGGTAACAGACTTCTCAGCTGTCACGGCACAAAAGCAAACTATACAAACACCCTCCTATTCTCGTTTCCAAATCTGTTAATCTTTAAATAATCCTTCAGTCTTTGAGAAATATCTTTTTTAACATAGTGCATAAACTAATGCATTGTTAAGCCCTAGGAAAAAAACTTTAACCATGTTCCTTTAAACTTGTGTAAACAGTTGTAAAATGGACTTGTAAGGGAAGGTCACTGCTAATAATAACATATTTCAAAATGTGCAGTTCCATCACACTCCTTTTCCACCTAGGCAAAAACATTTACATATTTTTCAGGAATTTGAATCTTATTTTGTTTGGCATGTGTTATTTGTACAACTATCGCAAAAATAAAGTATTGTTGGATTACTGAATATTTACATAGTGTCTACCCCCTCCCTTCCAAACTCCTTTAAAATAAGGCATATTATTAATGTTTCTAATGAATGGCTGCTGATGAACTGTATCGCCTTCCCAACTTATGTAAATTTCCACTGCTCTTGTTAGGCCTATAACATGCCACAGCTTTCCATTGGAAGATATTTTAAATATTTACTTTGGAAATACCATACCTAAAAAGCTAATACTGTTTATATCAGGTTTACTATGCAATCCTCAGGGAGTAGGTAAGTCCTCCTTACCTTTAGACTTCTAAAGTCCCCTTAGAAAAGCTCTGAATTAATGATGGTGAGGATGTCAGTGGAAAAACCTCCATCACAATTCTTAATTTGGAAGCACCCAGAGACTAAGCCAAAGGGAAGTTTTTCCTGCTGTAGTGACTATCAGTGGCATTTCTCATCCGTCATTCACCGTAAAGGAAAATGTGAAATGTTTCTAAACTTTGCAACCATTCTGAAGTATAATAATGCCTACTTCCCTGGAGGTTTACAGGGTAAAGACACAGATCTGAGCTAAATATGTGTATGTATTACTTCTTGAGGAAGAGGGACAGAGCTTAAGAGATTCTCTTTTGAGTGCACACACACCTGGCCTCAGAATTTCCTTCCTGTCTCAGCCTTTCTCAAATACAGATTTGTACTTGGGACTCTCTCAGCTCAGTCCTGGCTGGAAATACAGAGGGCCTGGCTAGTCTGTGGTAGCTGGGTACAGATGAGCACAGGCAGAAGCTTTCTGCTGTAACAAGGTTGTTCCTGGTCTGCAAACCAGATAATGAAAGCCTATCTTTGCTAAATCCCTGATTAAAAACCCTACAGCTCTGTTTCCATCAGAGTGTGGCTCAGATATTGACTCTTAGCTTGACTTTTTCCCTCACACATGCATGGATGTTCCCAGGATCAACAAGAAAACGTGTGTATGCATTTAATATCTGCACACACTCAACCCAACCCTTGCCTCAGAAATGGCAGAGGTCATTGTTCTTTTTACTAGCTCCCTCCAAACTCATAGGTTTTGCTTTAGTGGGGAATGTATTGTCAAAATATAGGAAGGCATGGTATGTGAATTATATCACAATAAATAAAAAGTGAATAAATGAGCAGTGTTTTAGGGGGGAAAATTAAGGAAAACTGGATTCAGAACAGTATGTGTGCCCAAATCAAACAGTACTCGTGCTCTGAATATAAAGTGTCCCTGGAGTCTTGTGATTTCCAGTGACAAACATAATGCTAGAATAATTATGGATTCAGCTAAACACTTATGGACAGTCCTGTGCAGGTGAGGCTTGACCAGAGGCCAGCACTTGGGCACTGGGCTGCATGCCCTTGCAAGGTTTATTTAACTCCTCATGGTTGTTGAGACAGACTGCATTGCTGGCCTGGAATGGAGGCTGCAACTCAATGAAAGAACTCTTGATATCATGAGGTTTGAGTGCCTGTCCCAATTTGGCCTCTTACTGGGGTAGCCTCTGATTTATCATTGGTAAATGAAGGTCAGGATTCCTGGCCTGCCCTGCTCTTACTAACAAGATAGTTTATTAACTGTAATTAGACATATTTTATGAGCTTCACAAGAGGTTAGGGATACATGTGGCTGAATGCTGATGTGCCATCTGCATGGAGTAAGGGATGTCTGCATACATCCCTGAAGCCAGATGTAGAAGAGGGTTCCTCCAAGTCACATGGCCTAGAAAGGCAGTAAGAACAGCTGGGGACAATGTATGTGGGAAGTCCAATGCCAAGTATGGGCCCACATTTGCTTATTAGCAGCTGGTAAATCCATGTAAAGCTACAGATCTGTGAAAATACCTGAAGGCTGGCTTGGGTTGACAAAGTCTCTTTGTCGGGTCCACATCTTGACTTTTGTGATGCTAGTGCTCCTTTGAGCTGTGTCATGAGGCTGCTGAAAGCATCACCTTGTCTTCAACAAAAGGGGCAGAAACCAGCATTGTGGAGTGCCTTTCACACATGTGCTGTGAAATATTACCCTTGAGGAAATTGAGGTTCCAGGGGTTAAGTAACTTACCCAAAGTACACAGCAGTGAAAATGAATAAGAATTCAAAATTTATTTACCACCAAAGCCCATTCACACTGATGTAGAACTGGAAAGTGTTGCAGCCGGAATATGGGGTCCTCTTCTTCAAAAACCCAAACATATCCTTTATCAGGACAGTTACACAGTCATAAAGTGTGCCAAATGACAAAGTAATACGATTTAGTAGTGAGTTTGGTATCCTTTATTCAAAGGAAATTCATGAACTGCGGAGCACAGTGCCTCACCAGCAGTGTTACACAGTTATAAAGAGTGTCAAATGACAAAGTAATTCCATTTAGTAACAAGTTTGGTATCTTTTATTTAAGGGAAAACAGTCATGAATTGGGGCATCACGGTGCCTCACCAGCAGTGGAGTACTCTTCCTGAGGAATTTTGGGCGAGATCAAGTTGAATAGAACATTAAAAGAGGCAACTGGGAAACAGGGTATGATTGTCACCAAATTAGTTATTTCAGATGGGGATTTCCTCAGAAGGCTAGCAGGTCCTGTTTTCCAGGGTCAGGTAAGCTAGCTAAAGCTAAGTTGTGAATGGTTTATGTTAAGTTTCTTTGACAGTGAGGTATTTCCTATTAGTGCGGCAGACTTCCATTTACATCTGACTTCTTGGGCTCCGGGCAGGGTGGGGGTGCTCCCATGTTATGGGTCCCAATGTACAGTGACCTTTGTCAAGAGTTATGTGGACATTTCTGAGAACAGTTTTAATTTTATACTTTTCTAGTTGGAATTAGGAGTATCTTTATGCCCTTAGTCCTCCCTTCTGGTACTTAGCACTGTGCCTTGATGATCATTGTCGACTGTTTACTTCTACAAGGAGTAAGTTTTTAAGTTGAACCTTCAACTTGCCTGAGAAGTTTAGTTTCTCCTGTTGTACCTGTTGTTTTTTGTAGGAGAAAAATACTAAGTTGGTTAAAGCTAGAGTGGGAATTTAATTGCAAAAAGAAAATTGAAAAAAAAATTTTTAATGTAGTCTATATAACTCTATAGCAGAAATAAGCTCCTAATGATATATTTTTGGCCCATTTTTCTCTCAGTCCTGGGTTTCCTTTGGCTTTTCAGAATATATTAGCCTGGGCTCATTCCTACATAGATGCAAAGAAGATGCCATTAATTTCATTTTCTTTTATAATTAAAATACATTGTTTGAGGCAGTATATTTGCATGTAAATAAATTAAAGCTGCCTCCCTCAGGTATCCTTTCAGAGGTATTCTCTTCATAGGAAAGCATGTCTGATTATAAATGTGCATATAGAATCCCCTTTTTCCCATACATGCAAATAGAAGCAATCCAAATATGTTTTTCTGTACTCCACTGCCTTTTTTTTTTTTAATCTTAAACTATTTTGCAGATGGTCCTATATTAGTTTTGGGGTACTCAAAATCTTTTTGACTATTACTTAAATGATTTACAATTTTAACATACTGTTTTACTGATGCTAAAAATAAGACATTTTCACTACGAAACTCAGAAAAGTAATAATCTCTGAACTCACTATCTATATGCAGCAATTTTGAGACTCCCACATTTTCCAGGTTTTTAGAGTCAAGACACAATTTCAAACCAGCCACGGTGCCCAGATTCCCTCTCTCAGTGAAATGTCCCTTATAAAGACATTGAAAAGACCTGAGATGCTCAGTTGTCTTCTTTTTTCACCGTTTGTGTATGTGTGTGTGTGTGTGTGTGTGTGTGTGTGTGGTGGGGGTGTCCAGTGTGTGTGATAACCAGTAGTGCGTCAAAACTTAAAAATGAACATGAGTCTGGCCTGCCCAGAGACAGCACCAGACCCCCAGGTTAAGGGTTTCATCCTACAGACTGCCTCCACTCCACACACACACAAAAAAAAAATGAACATGATTGCAATTAAACTACAATGTTATGTCTCCATTCTATCTCAGTAAAAAAAAAATTAGTATTTTTAAAAATAACTTCAAATGACATGAGCACTTCATGCTGATTTTCCAGATTTGGAATCCAAAGCATTTTTCTCACAGTTCCGGCACAGTCATAGAAAGTAAAAGTGAATTGGGAACCTCGGCTTGACCTGTGTTCTCAGGATCCTGGGGCTCCGAGAACTCTGTGGTGAAAGGGAAATACATTCCCACACAATCATTTCTGTTCTTAGTCTAGCAGCATTCTTTATTGAATGCTGCCTATCATCCAGATGCCACACAGGGGTCCTGCACCCTGCATGCAGGGAGGTCCGTCAGGGAAAAGGATGGTCAGAGAGCTGAGGAGCAGACCGCTCACTCTGCGGGTAGGACTGGCTGCGAGGATCTCCAGTTGGGAGCTGCGGGGAAATGGGACAGGGAGCCTCTAGGACAGGTCACCTTCACCACCTTCCCCTGCAACTGGCCCTTCCATCCAGCTTTGCCCCTCCCTGTGCTGTCCCAGCCATGCTAGAACAGGCCCCTCAACCCTCCCCCATGAGCTTCTTCAGTGCTGAGTAAGTGGTGGGTCTGCTAGGTAAATAATCTGGCAACTGTAATGACTGTTTGGTGGCAAAATTTTCTCACAGGTGTTCTTACCACACATTTTTGCTGCAATCTTCTGCTTTCCCTTTTTACAAAAATAAAATAATTGTGTTATGACACCAAATGAGCTATTATTTCAGTGAGTTTAAGGTGTAGGTCTCAGCATCACTTCATGTGATCTCTGACTGCCAGGCATATTTGATGGACTGTTTTAGATGCAATGTAGTTTTACATTTCTCCTAAAAATATCCCTTTTTCTTTGGCCTGCAGTTGCTTTCGCTCATTAAAATGTGTTATGTGTTAATAAAATATGTTGGTTTCCTATGAACATGGTTGGTGACAGGCTTTTTTTTTCTTTCTAGCTATGAAAAACCTCCTCCTGGGCTTATCAAGGTCAGTGTGAATTTGTAGTTTCAGTTATTCTCTTAAGATGTTTGACTCAGTAAGTTGTGAAAACAAGTCGCATTGGGTTTTGAACCTCCCTTTAGGATAACCCTGTTTCTTCCCTGCAGGTGCCAGTGGGTTCCTACACTTTGGGCTTTATCACAGCTTGTGCCTTTGTGCAAATGTTATCAGTCACATGTCTGTTCCCTCAGAGATGGCGGCAGGCCCACAGGCATTGTCAGCAGCTCCCCTTCTCCCTCTCTCACTCGTGGCTGCATCTTCCCAAAGCTCCGCTGCCTCGTGTTCCTTCCCTGACGCACCCACTGCTGGTTTGTTGCATGTCATCGGCTCAGAGAACAGCAGACTGAGGAGACTTGAAGTGCATCCAGTCCCATCTCCCCTGGTGCAGGTGGCCCTCCAGCAGCCTGGCCCCACCACAGTGACCTTCTGCAAAGCCAGACATAGAGAATTAAAGGCCAGAGCAGGCCTCTCTATTTGTTAATTTTAATGAAGAAAGATTTTTAGAAAACATTCTTCCATTATAAATTTAATATTCATGGAAACTTTGAAAAAATCATAAAGTAAAAAAAATAGCACGTTAATTGTATAATGCAGTTATTAAGTGGTAAAAATACATTTCATAAATACAGCATATGTGAGATTATAAAACATAGCATTGGCCTTCCAGATATAAAAATCCATTTTAGCTTAACATGTTATTTTTATTCTAGGTAACCTGACTTGTTTAATTCTATACTTTGCCTCATTCCACAAAGCTTTTAAATTAGCAGAGACTTTCTTTGACCTTAGAATCTAATTTTTGTGATCTAGAATCAGAATTTGGAACTCAGAAATCATTCCTGCATGAACACTAGTAACATTTCTCTAAAAACAGCTATGTCATTTTTGCGATACGGTTCTTCAGATTTATTTGTTCAGTTGGTTTTATTTATTTATTTACTTACTTCTTACTTACTGGGTCAGGTCTAATTTGTGTTTCTTTTCAGTTCCTCAGGGAGTTATCAGGGATGACACTGGGATCTCCTACCCATGAGAAAGCCGGGAATGCTGTGTCCTCAAGCAGGTGGGAGAGAATTCCAGGGCTTCTTTTTAACCATATGGTTTATATGTTGTTTGCTGTTTTAGGAAGATGAGACGAAGCCAGAAGACTGTATACCAGATGTGCCAGGCAATGAACATGCCAGGGAGTTTCTGGCTCATGCACCAACTAAAGGCCTTTGGATGCCACTGGGGAAGGAAGTCAAAGTTATGCAGTGTGAGTATGGAAGACTTTCAGGTAACTGGTAACACTCACTGGCACACCCCAGTTACATACCACAATTTACACACTGTGCTTCTTTAATTAATTTATTCACCACAGCCCTACTAAAGTCATGGCATAACCTCTGTTTTATAGATAAAGAAGCCAACTTCATGTGTCAGTGAGTGGTCTAATGTAAAAGTTAGAGCAGAGCTTTGATCCAGGGCTTCTGACTAGAAGTGCAGCAGTCTGGGCTCACCAGTAATATTCCTGTAACACAAAGGATATTACAAAAAATAACTTAAACCTTTGTATTTTATCACCAAAACTATAGCGTTATTTCTATATGAAATGACCATTCAAACCACAAATTATATATATGACATGTAGAATTCTAATTTATTACAAAATCCAAGTCTATAGAATATTCTGTACTAACAGTTAAAGCAATGGCCATCTTAAAAAAAAAAAGGATATTCCATGTTTGAAATGCCATAGGACAAGGGATGCATCGGAGGGCAGTCCCTCTGGGTCTTAACCTTAGTCAGTCACCCTCCATCAGAGGTGTTAAGGTTGTATCCGTAACTGCAAAGGAGTCAGAGGCCTCAGAGGTGGGTCTGTGTGTATTACCTTGTGCCCCACCAGAACAGCAACACCTTCATCCAACATAAGATGGCATTTGAAGGAAGGGTACTGCTGCCTTTTAAAGGCATTTGTACAAAGATTCCTCATGCACATAATTAAAACAGCCACTTGAACCTCTAAAGAAAGTTATTTTGAAGTTTATTTCCATGTATCTCATTAGCATGATTGTATTCCTGACCCTTGATTTTTCAGATTTTTTCATTATCTTACTGTAGAAAGCAAGAATTGAGCTCTTTTTGCCTCCACCTGACCTCATACACACACCCATCCTATCTCCCTTTTTCCCAGTAATAGTTGTATCATAATTTAATGATTATTTTCAGAGTTGAATCCTGTACTAGACTAATTACATTTCCTCCATCATCATGCATAATGTTTTGTTTGCCCTGCAATTAATACGTTTTTTTTGTTGTGGTTCTTATTGTTTTTGCTGTTTTTTCCTGTGTATAATCACTAATTCAAGATTTCAGATGTTTGAGGTACTCTGTCAGAATCGCCTTTCTGAGGATAGTTACTCCATATGCTGTCATCCAGGGATCCTCCTTTACCATCATTCTGTGCTTTCCCTTATCCTCTCTCCTTTTTCCTGTATCTTGGGTCTTCTTTGCAGTAGTCTCTTGCTATGTCGAGCACATACTCTAGTATTAGGAGGTGGGTTTATGGGAGATAAAATTTTCAAGACTTCATTTTCCTAGAAACCTGTCTATTTTATATTTTTAGATAGCCATTTAGTGTAATTCTCATTTAAAAACCAGCTTCCTTCAGAAATTTGAAGGCAGTGCTTCATAGCCTTCTCATTTGCAGAACTGCCATTGAGAAATCCAAAGCAATTAAGATTCTGGATGCTTTGATGTAAACTGTTTTGTTGTTACTTTTTTTAAATTTTTACATTCTGGAAGCTTGGAATTCCCTGTGTTTTGAAATTTCACAAATTGTTTCATTGGTTATTTCTTCCCTTCTGTGTTTGTTAATTTTCAGAGAGTGGATTTTCTAGACTGATTTTCTAATTTCTGATCATTTCTCCCATATTTTTATTTTCTGCTTCCTAGACTATTTCATCAACATATCTTCCAGTCTTTCATTTAAGATTTTTATTTATGCTATCATGTTTTCCAATGCAACAGGCATTTTTTGGTCTACAATTTTATTTTTTCATGTTCTATTGCAGTATGTTATCTAAGGATGTAAATTTTTTTCCTTCTTCCTGATGTGTCTGTTCCTTCCAAATTAGTAATTTCTGTTTGTTTATTTTTTCACCTTTGTCTTTCATTTAAAAGGCTTTCAGATCTCTGTGAATCCAGCTACCTACTGTATTACTGTAGTCTATGACTGTGTAACAAATGATCCCAAAATATAGTGGCTTCATACAAAAATTATCTTGTACCATCTCACAGTTTCTATGGGCCAGGAATTGAAGAGAGCTTATCTGGGTGATTATCATTGAGTCTCTCATAAAGTTACAGTCAAAATGTCAGCTAGGGCTGCAGTCATCCAAAGGCAAGGATGGAACTGGAGGACATATTTCCAAGATGTCTTACTCATATACATTGCAAACTGATGCATTGCAATTGACGGAAGTCTTCATTTTTTGCTACATGTACCTCTCTGTAGGACTGTTTGAGTATCCTCAGGATGATATTCCAGTGTTCTTTACCTAGAGCCAGTGATCCAGGAGACAATAAGGTACAAGCAACCCTGTATTTTATGACCAAGCCTCAGAAATCATAAGCTGTCATTTCCATAATATGCACTTGCTTACAAGCTCAGTCCTGTGCACTGTGGAGGAGGCTATAGGAGGGTGTGCATACCAGGAGGTAGGGCTTACTGGTGTACTCTTAGAGGCTGGCTGTCACACTCATTCCTGTTTAGGAGTGAGAGATTTTTAAAAAGCTGAGTAAAAATTCTAAACATCACTGTAAGGTGTCCTGTCTGGGATGATTAGTTTGGTAAACTTTTTTTTTTCTTAAACAGATAACAAAATATTGTAGTAAAGAGTAATCTCTCAGATCAGTATCTGTAGGTCATTTTCATTAGGCTGGTAGATTTTGACAGAAAAGTTATTTCCTGCCTCAGGGTAAAGGCTACATTCCTTATGTTCTGGTGTGGATAAAATGAAAGTTCCTGTGGCCAGAATTCTCAACTGGCCCTGGTTGGCTAGCTTAGTACACAGGTGTGGGCAATACATTGCTATTGACTCTATATGAAGAGCTCCACCCAGTGGTCTTGGCAACACAGTGGCATGGCTGCAAGGCTGCAGGAGAACAGAGCAAAGGCTGGAGTGGTGGCAGCGCTGAGAATAGAGGCCCAGAGGACGGCTCTGCAGGTAGAGAAGCCCAGAGGATGGCTGTGCGGGCGGAGAGGCCCAGAGGCAGAGACTGGCTTGCTGCATGAAGACTTGCTCTGAGTGGATGGGATTTTGGTGATTGACCTGCCACCGTGGAAATAAAGTTGGGTATAACGCTTTCACCCCAAGAATGTTCTACTGTCATTTCTTTGGTCACCGTGAATCCATAGCGAACTTGCCCAGGGATGAAATCCATTGGCAAGACAATTGGCGACAGTTGGCAGGGTTCATTGGTGACCAAGGAAGAAGAACAGGTTGCCCTCATAGGAGGAGTGTTTCAGCAGGCTGTGCCTATGGTCAGGGAGGCATTCAAGCGTTCCCTGTGGACATGTGGTACTGTGAAGGGGTGGAGGAATGGGGTCTACCCCAAGAGAAAGCTGACAGAAATGACGTCACTACGAAGTGCTGTGGCCCGAGAGGAAGCAGCATGAGAAGGAGCAGCAGCCCAAGAAGGAGCAGCACAAGAGCAGCAGTATGGGAATGCAGGCTTCCTGGTGCCGTGGGGCAGGTGAAGGATGTAGTGGAGCTGTCAGCCCCAGAAATGGAGGAGTGGAGGTTTGATGAACAGGTCGGGATGGAGGCCCAGAGGTACTGGCCCCTCCTCAGTTGAGACCTCCCCTGGTTGAAAGCTGGTGGAAAGCCAGAAGGACTTGGCAACTGCGGGTTCTTTCAGGAGAGGTTCAGCCCCCTCCTCAGGTTGTGGAGCACTCCATGATCTACTACTATCCTCAGGCTCAAGCACGGAAAGAAATACAGTCTGCTTCTCGAAGAAAGAATTTAAAGGACCCTGTGAAGGTTGCAAGGACCCAAATGTGGGTGGGTTTGAAAAGGCAGGATCAGTCAGAAAGAAATTGGACTGGAGCTGTGGCAACAACTGAGACTGGAGCAGCACTTCTGGCTGCTGAGGATGAAGCAGAAGGCAGAGATAAAGCACAAAGATTGGCCTGTGTGTCTGCAAGACTTTTTGCTGGAGAGGCTAGAGAAGGTGGATATTGTAAGGCCCACCCATGGCCCTTTTGATTAACTCATTTGAGTAGAACTGGTCTCAGTACAGCTAGGATGACCACTTGGTGGCAATGGATCTCCTCAGGCTTGAGGGTTATTATAATTTGTTGTAATTTTTGTTATTTTTATATTGTATTATGTTGTTGTGGAGTTTGATTACAATGTTCCAGCTTCCTTGCACAGAGACCATTGCAGAGGACTGCGGGCACATAGATTGAGAGGAGAGAATCCTGGAGGGATGGAGTGTGGATAAAATCAAAGTCCCTGTGGCCAGGATTCTCACCTGGCCCTCCTTGGCTAGCTCACTACACACATGTGGGCAATACATTGCTATTGACTCTATATAAAGAGCCCCGCCCAGTGGTCTGGGAGACACAGTGGCATGACTGCAAGGCTGCAGGAGAGCAGAGCAGAGGCTGGAGTGATGGCATCGCTGAGTATAGAGACTGGGACGACTGTGCAGACAGAGTGGCCCAGATGCAGAAACCAGCTTGCTGCATGATGACTTGCTCTGAGTGGATGAGATTTTAGTAATTGACCTGCCACCATGGAAATAAAGTTGGGTATAACCCTTTCACCCCAAGAATGTTCTACTGTCATTTCTTTGGTAACACTGAAGCCATAGTGTTGAAAGACTGAAACCCATTGGCAAGACATCTGGGAACTGATTGAAGGAAGAAGGCTGTGAAGTCTCAGCACCCAGCACTCAGTCCTCAGGCATTCACATGATCTTCCCATGTTCGGCATGACACCTTGCCTTCTAAAGTGCCTGACATCATGATAGCCAGAGACGATCCCTTTTACCTTCTCCAAAAAATAAACATTTAACCAGGGTCAGGGAGGAATATACATGGTCTTCTGACCAATTATCCTTTTTAAGCTACCCCTTCAACTCTATTCCCAGAAGTAGGCTGCCAAATCCGGAGCTTTGGGGAGTTCTACAAATTGAAACTGAGTTGGTTCTCAGTTCTCCCTACCACTGACTTAGAATTCAGTTTTTTGGGGTCTGCTATTCATTTAG